AGAAGTAGTAGAAGTAGTAGTAGTAGTAGTAGTAGTAGTGATAGGAATCATATAAACATCAGCAGCAGCTCTAGTAGTAGTAGTAGTTGTTGTCGTACTAGTGGTATCAATAGTACGTGTATCAGCCGTCGTAGTAGTAGAAGAACATGAAGTAGTAGCAGCAGTCGCAGTAGTAGTAGTAGTAGTAGTAGTAGTAGTAGTAGTAGTAGTAGTAGTACAGTAGTAGTAGTAGTAGTAGTAGTAGTAGTAGTATAGTAGTAGTAGTAATAGTAGTAGTAGTAGTAGTAGTAGTAGTAGTAGTCGCCGTAGTCGTTGGAATAGTAGTAGTAGCAGTAGTAGTAGTAGTAGTAGAAGTAGTAGTAGTCGTAGTAGTAGTAGTAGTAGTAGTATTAGTAGTCGCAGTAGTAGTAGTAGTAAGAGTAGTATGTCGTCGTGGTAGAATAATTAGTAGGAGTAGTTGTCGCCGTAGTGGTAGCAGTCGTCGTAGTAGTAGTAGTAGTAGTAGTAGTAGTAGTAGTAGTAGTAGTCGTAGTAGTAGCAGTAGCAGTAGTAGTACTCGTCGTCGTAAGAATGGAAGTAGTAGAAGCAGTAGTAGTAGTAGTAGTAGCAGTAGTAGTAGCAGTAGTAGTAGCAGTAGTAGTAGTCGTAGTAGTAGTAATAACAGTAGGAGAGGTGGTGGTGGCAGTATCAGAAGTAGTCGTAATAGTGGCAGTAGTAATAAGATAGAAACATGCTAAGTAAACACTAAAGCACGCCTGTCAACACCTCAGCCTGCCTGCTAGCCCTACGCCGTACTTATTGTGGAACTGGTGCGCCCCCCCCCCCCTCCCCCCGCGTGCGTTCGGCACAATTACGGGAGGGGGGGGGACGAGACGACCCCCCGTAATGGACGCTCGAGGTTCACCGAATACTTATCCTGGCGAAGGGCCCAACCACATGCAGTTGTGAGCACCGCGGAGTGGCCATCGCTTGCGTTGGATCTTCCGATGAGACCACGAAGCGTGCCAGGTGTGTGTGCCGAACTGGGTGGGGAAGCGCATGCGAATTGCACTGCGGAAGCACTCGGTGGAGCTCCCAATGGGGCCGCGAAACGCGTGAGGAGTATGTCGACATGAGTTGGGATCCGCACGCGAATTGCGCCACTGAAGCACTCGGTGGAACTCCCCATGGGACCACGAACCGTGTGAGGTGTGCCGACATGGGCGTGATGCCCACATGGGAGCTGCGCCACGGGGGCACTCGGGGCCAGGAAACGTATGAGGGCTGCGCCGAAACGAGGGTGACGCCCACATGCGAACTGCGCTACTGAGACTTTCGGAGGAGCTCACCAGGGGGCCGCGAAACGTGAGGGGTGTGCTGAAACGGGGTTGACGCTCGCATGCGAACTGTGCCACTGGGACCTTCGCTGGAGCTTCGTATGGGGCTACGAAACGTGTGAGGGGTGTGCCGAAACGGGGGTGACGCCGACATGCGAACTGCGCCACTGGGACCTTAGCTGGAGCTCCCACGTGTAAGGGGTGCACCGAAACGGTGTGAGAGGAAGAGGGAGGGGGCAGCGGGAGGAGGAGTGACTCGGGGCGCTGTCTTGTCAACGTGAGGACCCAACACCACAGGATGGTTGGGGAACAAACAGCATCCTGCACGAGCAACGTCTTGCCGAGAATCCGCTCGCTGGCCGCGTTCACGAACACATCCGTGCGGCACGCGTCTCGAAGCCAGAGGGCGTGGAAACGGAAGGCCGCGCCATCATGGAAGCAGAGGTCCACGCAGCCAGCAGGACCGATCTTCGCCTGCAGGACGGAGTCGAAGGAGGCCCTGGTCGACTGGGGCCTCGCCGCCACCCGCTGGCACGCCCCGTTCACGTGCGGCGTGAGCCTGCGCGCCTGCCGCGGCGGCATGGCAGACGCGCAGAGTCCCATCGCTCGCGCCAGCGCGAAGCGCAGTGCCATCGCGACCCGGTTGAGGAAGAGACGAGGGGCTTACGGTGTCTTTCCAAGGCCCACAAAAGGCCCATCGCTCGAGCCAGATGTCCACGATTTGGCGATCGAAGACAAGCTTGGATACCAGCCACACAGATGCCCCGGAACCTGCACCCAAGGCGCCGAAACGTGGACGGCTGTGAGTTCAGAAAGGGATCGCTGTTTCTTGGGTGCTTCCTTGGTTGTTCCCATGGCCCATAGACTCCTCGTGCACCCAGGCTCTTCGAATGCCAACATCAGGGATGGACAGACCCCCCTTTAGCAAAACGTGGTTTAGTGAAAACGACCTGAGGCCCAAACCTGGCGGGCGCAAGCCTGGGAAAATAACGGCCGCGGCGCCCTCTCGAGAACCGAAAACGGACAACTCACTAATCGATGTGTCACTGTTGGTCTGTCCACCCCCGACAACAAGAACCTTCGTTCCTTATTCCGCGTTCCCTATCTCAGCAGCCCGACGGCCCCCCCCGCGAACAGCTACCCCACACAGCAAACGAAGACGCTCGAGTTATCCGGGATGGCTGCGGTCCGGGGCAACTTTGGTCTGGGCCCCCGAGGCGCGAACCTGTAATTGCCCCTAACTGCCCCCTGCCCTGATGATCCCGGAAGGTTAAACGCTCGAGCTATCCAGGATAACTGCGGTCTGGGGCAACTCCAGTCTGGGCCCCCGAGGCGCGAACCTGTAGTTACCCCTAATTGCCCCCAGCGCTCTGATGATTCGGGAATGTTGGACGCTCGAGTTATCCGACATAACTGCGGTTCGGGGTAACTCCAGTGTGGGCCCCCGAGTCGCGAACCTGTAGTCACCCCTAACTGCCCCCAAACCCTGATGATTCGGGAGTGTTAGACGCTCGAGTTATCCGGGATGACTGCGGTCTGGGGTAACTCCGGTTTGGGCCCCCGAGGCACGAACCTGTAATCACCCCCAACTGCCCTCAACAACCTTAATGATTCTGGAAAAATGGACGCTCGAGTTATCCGGCATAACTGCGGTCCGGGGTAACTCCGGTTTGGGCCCCCGAGGCGCGAACCTGTAGTTACCCCTAATTGCCACCATCCTTGATGATTCGGGAGTGTTAGACGCTCGAATTATCCAGGATAACTCCGGTTTGGGCCCCCGAGGCGCGAACCTGTAATGATTCGGGAGGATTAGACGCTCGAATTGTCCGGGATAACTGCGGTCTGGGGCTTTGTGGGCCCTGGAAACGACAGGGCTGTTTTTTTACCGTTTCCAAAAAAATGTCCTTTGAAAATGTAAACGGCAAAAAACGGCGACCGGAAACGGCACAAAAACGGCTCCAGGATTGGAACCAGAGCTGGAACCGGTCAAAAAACGGCGACGGAACCGGTAATAAAACGGCGTCGGAACCGGCAACAAAACGGCAGAACGGAACCGGTAAAAAAACGGCCCTGTCGTTTCCAGGGCCCACTAAGGTCTGGGGTAGCTCTGGCTTGGGCCCCGAGGCGCGAACCTGTAGCTACCCCTAACTGCCCCCAGCGTTCTGATGGTTCGGGAGTGTTGGACGCTCGAACTATCCGGCATAACTGCGGTCCGGAACTCCGGTTTGGGCACCCGAGGCGCGAACCTGTAGCTACCCCTAACTGCCCCCAAACCCTGATGATTCGGGAGGGTTAGACGCTCGAACTATCCGGGATAACTGCGGTCCGGGGTAACTCCAGTCTGGGCCCCCGAGGCGCGAACCTGTAGTTACCCCTAATTGCCCCCCAGCCCCGATGGTTCGGGAGGGTTAGACGCTCGAATTATCCAGGATAACTGCGGTCCGGGGTAACTCCAGTTTGGGCCCCCGAGGCGCGAATCTGCAATTACCTCTAACTGCCCCCTGCCCTTATGATTCGGGAGAAATGGACGCTCGAGTTATCCGGCATAAGTGCGGTCCGGGGTAACTCCAGTTTGGGCCCCCGCGGCGAAGCCCTTAAGAGATAATTGTGTGTTTATATATATATATATATATATATATATATGAAAGAGAGCGTGATCCACCGCCGCTTTACTGTGGAAAATTGCCAACCTTTTCCTCTCGCCCCCCCCCCCTCCCCTCCGAAAATCCCCCCCCCCCTGCTGGAACCCCTCCCCCCCCCCCCCCCCCTTCCCCCGGCAAAAACCCCCCCTCCCTAACCCCTCCCCCCCCCCCCCCCTCCCGCTCGAAAACCGGGGGGGTCACTACCGGTTCGAACCCCCCCCCCCCCCCCCCTCCGGATCCGGAAAACCGGGGGGGGTCACTACCGGTTCGAACCCCCCCCCCCCCCCCTACTCACCGCCAGCAAACGACTCCCGGTCCCCACCACCGTCCGCATCACATCCCCCACTGGTGTTCCCAGCACCACTGTCCTCACCACCGCTGTCCCCACTGGTTCCACCACCGCCCCTACTGTCCCCACCAGTGGCCCCACCACTGTCGCACTGTCCCCGCTGTCCCCAGAACTGTTCCCACCACGGTTCCACTCTCCCCACTGTCTCCACGGCCCCAACCACTGCCCGACTATCCCCACTGTCCCCACTGTCCCACTGACTCCTCCGCTGTCCCACTGAGCTGTCCCACTGTTCCCACCACTGTCCCCACTGTCCCCACCACTGTCCCCACTGTACCTCTGTCCCATTGTCCCACCGCCGTCCTCGCCACCGCCTTCACCACTGTCCCCACCACCATTGTACCCTCCACTGTCCCACTGTTTCCACCTCATTCCCATTGTCCCCACACCACTGTCCCCACCACCACCGTCACCACCACTGTCCACTGTCCCCCCCTGTTCCCACCATTGTCCCCACCACTGTCCCCACCACTACCGTCCCCACCACTGTCCCACTGTCCCACTGTCCCCACCACTGTCCCGCTATCCCCTCACCACTGTCCCCACCCACCGTCCCCACCAACACCGTCCCCACCACTGTCCGCACCCCCACTCGGTTTTCGAGGGGGGGGGGGGGTTCGAACCGGTAGTGACCCCCCCCGGTTTTTCCGGAGGGGGGGGGGGGGGGGGGTTCGAAGGTAGGACCCCCCCCTTTTCATGATGAATGGGGGGGGGGGGGAAACCGGTAGTGACCCCCCCCGGTTTTCGGAGGGGGGGGGGGGGGGGGGGGTTCGAACCGGTAGTGACCCCCCCCGGTTTTCCGCCAGCAGCGGTAGAACACGCTCTTTCATATATATATATATATATATATATACGTATGTGCAAATCTGCATGTACACGCGTATCTGGAGATTTTCTGGATATCCCTGCACCGTTGAGATTTTCTGGAGACTTCCACGAGATTTTGGAGCCTGGCGATTTTCCAAAGATTTTCCCCGATATGTTGTGAGCCGGAGAGTTTTTCCGAGATGTTGTAATTTTCCAAACTTAGTTTAGAGATTTTCCCAAGAGATTATCCCTAGATTTTTCGCCCAGAAGGCCCTGGTCGCGTTTGCCACATTGACACGATCTAATTCTAGGCGCTCTAGAGGGGCAAGGCTACTCGAAGCTCCTCCCTTCGTTAATCGATGTCCTCCAAGATGGCTCCAAAATCGTCCCCAAGCCTCCCAAGAGCGCCCCAAGAGGGCCCAAAGAGGCGCCAAGGAGGCACCAAGAGGCGCCCAAAAAGCCTCCAAAAGGCTCCCAAGAGGCTATCCGAGGTAGGCAAGAGGCCCCGGGACCGCCGAAAGGCCTCCAAGACGCCCCAAGAAGTCCCCAAGCTCGCCATTGTCCTCCTCATCCTCCTCCTGCTTCTCCTCATTTTCCTCTTCCTCCTCCTCTTCACCCGCTCCTCCCTCCTCCCTCTCCTCCATCTCCTCGTCCTCGTCGTCCTCGTCGTCCTCCTCCTCCTCCTCCTGTCCCTCATCCCCCTCGTCCCCATTCGGCAGGTCCGCGAAGGCGCATATGGTTCGCTCCTGGGTCTGCGCAGGCTGATCCAAGACTTCAATTTGACGGCTTCCCAAGCTCTCGATCCACTGCATGCTCCTCCGCTTCCCTGATCAAAGCAACGCGCCTGGGAATCATTGGTGGATGGGCTAGTGGGGATACGCGACGCGTCAAGAATTGAACGGGGGTTCCGGGACTCCCGGCTACAGCAGGTGGTTCCAAGGCGTTCCAATAACCCAAACCACCTAAGGCAGCCCCAAGACAGCCAAAGGTCCCAAGGTGGGCTCCAATGGAACACCCCAAGGAATAGAGACCAGAGGCATTAAATGTCGTAGCACTGAGGATGTGGCTCGAACCGTCGCCACATCGCCACATTCATCATCATCATCATCATCATCATCATCATCATCATCATCATCATCATCATCATCATCATCATCATCATCATCATCATCATCATCAGCATCATTATCATCACCATCATCATCATCACCATCATCATCACCACCACCATTTCCATCATCATCATCATCATCATCATCATCATCATCATCATCATCCTCAACATCATCATCATCATCACCATCAGCATCACCATCACCATTATCATCATAATAATCATCATCATCATAATCAGCATCATCATCATCATCGTCGTCATCATCGCCACAATCGTCGTCGTCGTTGTCGTTGTCGTCTTCGTCGTTATCCTCGCCGTCGTCATCATCATCAACAGCATAATCATCATTATCATCATTATCATAATCGCCATCATAATGAGTTTACTCATCCTCCTAATTACTCAGCTCTAAGACGCTGCGGTGGCGCGGTGACGAAGCCTGCAATGCGCTCGGTCGATTGGGCACCATGAAGACTACTTCTGCGACCAACTTTGACTACAGTGGGGAGCCCCCAATCTCAGGATCCCAAGAAAGCCTGGGCCCAAGAGCTCAATCCAGAAACCACGAATCACACACATCGGCATGTGTTGGGGGAACGCTTTTTGATCCCGAGGGCTTCCGCAAGCCTTCCGCCTGCGGAGCCGCGGCCCGTTTCACGTCCGCCACCCCTCGCTGGCCTTCCGCTGAAGAGACAGTTAAACTGCTCGATCCGTCGAGGTGAAGCCCTTCCTGGAACACAACATTTGCCGTTGCAAACATTTCGTTGTGCGTACGGGTGTTTCGAGTGCGCTCG